TGCGAGTGATTAGGAATATAAACATACGTTAGCCACAATAGTTGAAGATATGGCTTCCAAAACTTGTTCCTCCCTTGCTCTTCTCCTCCTGTTTGCCCTAGTCGCTGCATGCGATTGCGAGCCGTGCCCTCGTGACGCACTCAAACTAGGTGAATGTGCCGGTGTGCTAAATGGGTTGTTGAACAGGACCTTGGGTCAACCACCAATTACCCCTTGCTGCTCCTTCTTCAATGGCCTCCTTGATCATGAGGCTGCCACGTGCCTTTGCACTGCCCTCAAAGCAAACATTTTGGGACCCAAACTCAACTTTCCCTTCTCCTTCAACTTACTTCTCGGTGCTTGCTCTAGGCAAGTCCCACGTAATTTTCAGTGTCTTTAATGTCGCATATATCATCAAACTCATCATCATCGGCCAGTACTTGAATTAAAATAATTTGCACGTAATCTTAGTGGTTAATTAGTGCTACCGTTATAACCGGAAAAAAATAAAGTATATCATCTATCAAACCTGCTATGGTTGGCCTAGGGGTGAGTTTGAGTTGGAATAATTTGTACGTGGTCTTAATGCTATCTTATACACAAATAAATAAATAAATAATAATATCTATCATCATATGTACTTCTGCTTCGTGTTTGCTAGTTTTAGCTTCCGTTTCTTTCTGTTTTCCCCAAATTCCATGTGTGCTTCTTGTACGTGCATGGAGGGTAACTTCTCGTTGTTCCTTCGTTTCAGTGTTTTTTTAGTTATCTTAAGGGTGCTGCGATAGATAACGATGTTCCCCATGGTTGGTTGTGTTAATCGTAAGATACCAAAGAAATTATTAATTAGATTGCAAATCCTTCTTAAATTTTTTATGCTTTTTTTTTTCCTTTTGTCTTTTTGTTAAATGAGACCACATAAACTGATATGGTGAATTACTTCGCCATTCCAATTAGTTTCCGTCGCCAATAAGTGGAAATCAAATTCAACAAGCGAATTAAAAAAGGAAAACAAAAAAGGGGAACAAACCCGCTTGCAAACCGCAAACTTTAATACATGATTACAAAAACCATCTCCAACCTAAATGAGGCGCCAATAATATGAAAAGAAAGTGCAATACAGATAAGGGAAGGAAATGAGCATGGACTATAGCCAGCAGACCTACTTGAATAGCCCGAATCGAAATATATTCATCTAGCCTCTAACTGAAGAGTGTAGAGTATCAACAATGTAATTGAAGTCGGTCAGAAAAGAGTTAATTGAAATGGATAAAAGAATGCAACAACAACCCCAATCTGAAGCCCAAAATAAGTAGCAGTCTGCTCCAAGATCGAGAAGAATGTGAGATAAAATGTAAAAAGCACATGGCCGCCCTCATCTTTATAGCATTCAAGCAAAAATACACCTTATAGAATTGATATACCAGTATGAAAATTGAAAGACACCACACTTTAGTTTTGAATAAATCACGCCAGCCCAACATATTTTTGTGTTTAAAGTAGATTTTGACGTGAGATATTTATAAAATTAATCAAAAGTAATTAAAAAGTTAAGTCTTTATAAAAATAAAATAGTTTTTTTAATGGTAAAGCTCAAACTCTATTTATCAAGAAAAATCACACACTAATTATTATTATACTAAATCAATTAATAGTAAAAATAGTATAAATATTAATCCTATGTAAGTTAAGGCTTGCTTTTATGGTTGGACCGGCACGAGACCAATACCACGATAACTTAATAAGCTTCATCTGCAATTGAAGAAAGCCGCGAGAGTACATTTTGGAACATGATGTTATTCTAGTTTGAGACATGAAAGAATGAGAAACGAGATATAATTTCTTGAGAATTGTATCAAACCTGAGTTTTGAAGCATCATTTATGGAATTCTGTTAGAGAGGTCACATTAAGAATTGGGACTTTGAAGATAAATTGGATTTTGGAATCACTCTCTAGACTCACCGATGAATGATAGGTGAACCTAACATGACTTTATATTCTGACGAGTCACTGCTGGATCTATTGAGAATCGCAAACCAAAAATAGTCACAAAGAAAACATTTCTACCATTGAATTAAAATAAAATAGCATAACACGATGATAAAAATTATCTCTTGGAGCATAAGCAATCTTTGCATAGAAGTTTGTGTGATCAATCACATGGTCAAATAGAAGAAAGTTGGACCTCTATCACTACAGCAAAAAGAGTTTTGGCAACATTTAAGAAATATTATCTAATTTTATATAAATGTTATCAATTTGTTTTTTTTTGACATATTATCAAATATTGTATATAATTCATGTTGCTAAAAATTTTTAATAATATTTTTATATAATTAGGTAACATTTTTCAAATGTTATCAAAATAGTATTTTTGTAACATTTTAATAATGTTGCTAAGCTTTAATTAATTTTATAAAATAATAATTAATTTTAATATAGATGTTACTATACCAATTATACTTTATGTCTCTTAATCTCTTACAAGTTCTTTAAGGTTGAAGATATTCTAAATTACCAAATATATATCAAATATTAAAGTTTATTTATCTTAAGTATAATTCTATAATTACATATATTTTTTATGTCTTATTCATTTACTCGATGTGAGCCTTTGATTTTGGAAACAATTAAAGATTAGAAAGATGTACTCTTTATGTGACATTTTTTACTTCATGTGAGATTTTAATATTAGAAAAAATCAGAAAGAATAATATTGAGATATAAAAAAAAAACTCTATCTATAATAATATTTTTTAGAAAAAAATGTTGCAAAATAACTTATTTACTCAATCTATAGTAACATTTAAATAAATGTAAGTAGGTAAATATTGTTAAAGAAGTAAAACGTTGTAATGTATCAAATCCACGCAAAAAGCTTCCTTGTCGATCCATGACAAGGAGAGACGACGATAGTGTTAGCTATGTACAAGACCAAAATAACTAGTAGGGTTTTGACACACAGTGAGTATACGATGTGGTTTTCTGAAGAGCAAGCATCCATTATGCCTTAGGCACTTCCTATTTGTAATAAAATGTCAACACTTTAACCTAACAATACTTTTAGGCTCCTTAAATTAAGAGCTTGACATGTGAGATATCTTATCTCCGTTCTTGTAGTTTTGATCTTATTTACGAAGCCATACCAACACAATTTTATAGATATATACCTATCTCATACCAGACTCAAAATTGTAGATAAATATGAAATTCGTTAATGGATATTTTTATGAATACTTATAATACTCAGGTCCACTTTATCATGCTTATTAGTGTGAGGGTTATCTAGAGCTGTCAAAATTGGTCACTTGGCTCGACCTAGCTTGGCTCACCATAGGTTGGCCAATAAGTGAGACAACCCTACCCACCTCACCTTCAAGTGAATTGACAAAAAATGAGCTTGATCCGATCTACCACGGGTTAGTAAGTTGAACGAGTTGACTCACTTAATTTTTAAAAAAAATTAAAAATTATTTATTTTTCTAATGTCTAGTCATATTTTTTAAATTAATTTTTAAATATTTGTTCAATCAAATCTATTTCTTTTAAAAAAATATATATTTTTTTCTAATCTCCAGCCACACAATCTCTTTTTTTCTAATATTTTTTCTTTTTCTTCCACAAAAATAAGTCTCTGGCACAATAAATAACCCCCTAGTGTAACATTTGACTGAATGAATAAGTGGACTATGAGTTTTTAATTTTTTTTGAGTGGACCATGAGTTTTTAAAATTTTTTTTTTTACATAAGTGGACTATAGGTTTTTATTTTTATTTTTATTTTTTTGTGTGAGTGGGCTCGTGAGACAACCCAATCACCACAAGTTCAACCCGGGTTCTTATAAACCATATTAAATTTCCAGCAATATATACTGAAATTTATAAATTTTTTTTTAATCTAATTTAGTTCGAACCCATGATAGGTTAAATTGACTTACCGACCATGATCCATTTTGACAGCCATAAATGATCAGTTATCCTATAAGAAAAAGTGAATGGATTGGAGTTTAACTTCAAACCAAATTATATATCAAAACCAATACAGGAACAGTATAGAAGAAACATAATGAAGTAATGAGTCACGAATAATTGAAAACATCCGAAGATAAATCTATTTTAGCTAAACAATTTGGAATGCTTATTAACAAACATCTCATTTTCTTACTACTTAAATAGTTTTATCTCATTTTTCTTTTTTATGTCTTTCTATATTTCTCGTCATATTATATACATCTATCACTTTCTCTTTTTAACTTTTTTTTATTCTCTTTATTCACTACTACAACAGTTTAGATTTTCTACGTTGGTTGTTTCTGGAATTTTACATCGGTTGTTGAATTGATGTACATTTAGCCAATGTAGAGCATTAAACATTTTTACACAAGTTGTTATAACTAATGTAGAAAGTGAATGCATCAAACTATGAAGGCATAACCATAAATAACGACCGTTCCTTAGTCACTATCAAATCTGTCACCGAGTACATATAAGTACATCTTGCTCAACTCTCCCTTGTTTTTTGTATCACCCTTTCCATATTAGGTGTGAGCAAAATTTTTTGGCCTGACCGAAATCCAAGGTAATCGCATGCATTTCTTTTAACTTCGAACGGTCAATCTCAGATTTTTGGGGCTTTGAGTTTGTTGTTTAGGTTTGAAATGGGCTTTTATTTATTTATCAGATTTGGGTTAAAATATTTGTACTCATCGATCCCGACCGAGACATAAGATAAGAATTAAAAGGTACGTAGAAAATTATTAGTTCAGTTCTTTCTTGTAGAAATCCTAGCCCCACGAGAGACTTTTAATTTCTCTGAAATACGAATCCTAGCACCGTTCGCTCATCTACGGCTACCACCATGTAATCGTTTGCTCTTTTCCATCTACTACTACAAAAACGATCTGGTTCATTTGTCTTCTTCTTTGTATCTTCTTGAAAATCTTCTTCTAATTATAATAATTTCCTAAAAAAAGGTCCATAATAATAACTCCACTAATTTAAATAGTTGAGAATAAAAGAGAAAAAAAAATTGTAGGTCCAGTCTAAGTTAATTAAATAGTTATTTAAAATTTAAAAAATAAATAAATAAAAATGTTGGATCTTATATGACCCGACTCGATTAAACCGACCCGCCTAATTCGAGATAAACCAACACGAATCCAACAAACCCAAATTACTATAGCGGTCAAAAATGAACTATTTTTTTTTTTTTTTTTTTGTCGATTTGAACTGTGCTGATATTTTCAATCCGAACCCGCCCCGGGCGCCTGCTCTTCACTACTCCATAGATTTCTTGCACAGCTCTACAGCGATGGCCATTTCCATGTCAAATCAAGACACATGCAATAACAATATATAGACAAATAACAAATGCAACAAAAAGAATAAGGGATCCTGACG